CCTTCAAATTCAACATTCAGGTCACGCTTGTTGAGTACCCACTGTGCACAATGAAGGTTGCTAAGTGCCTTACAGTTGTTACCTCAGTTCATTCATTCTTTCTGACATCCTTGGAAATATTATTCCTTTTTGAGGCAATAAGTCTCTATAAAATTCTAGCCCAAGGTCACATAGCTGGTAAGATAGAGCAGGACCCAACTCATTACACTCATTCCAGAAAAATAGTAAGATGCCATTTGGCAGAGGACTCAGAACCAGAGACTGCATGATATAGCCCGTCCTCCTATTGCTGGGCTCCCTTGAAATACAAGAGAAGACGTGGAACCAAGCAGCGGTAATGCAACTAGGCCCACGTGGGAAAGGCCCTGGTTCCTGTTCCAGAACCTGCCTGGGCTCACCAGACACACATGCTCATGATTGGTCTTTCTCTCTCTCCCTCTCAGCCATCCCTGGTGTGGTTGTACCACTGCTGGTTGATCAAAGAGGCTGTTGCTAGGGAGTGGGTGAGTCTAGAACTCAGGTCTTCAGGCTCCCAGCCCTCTGGGGACAGCGCAGCACTGCGATGAGCACATGTCCAGCACTCAGACTTCTACATAGCAAGCCTGATGCTACCTGCTGTTGATAACCCACACCCTGCCCAAATCTCTACTCTCATCAGCTGTGGGATGGAGGACAAAGGGGCCTAGGAGACCCCCCAAAAAGCTGGTTATGGTAGGAGTAAGCTTTACATGGCCCAACTTTTTCCTAGAATCTCTCTCTGTAAGTGTCTTTGGGATGGGGAGTTGGTTGACTGAAGGCAGGCCCAGCTGTGCTGTCCAGGAGGCCACAGAAGCCCTGCTTGCCAGCCACCTGCAACCTCCCTCAAAAGGTCGCTATGGATGGAGTCCAGGAGGGAGGCTGGCAGGCTGGCACTGATTTCAGGAGACATCCAAGAGGCATCACCATTCTCAGACCCATGTTCCAGGAGCTAAAGGAGAAAATGACCACTTTGTTCCTATTTCTTACTTCCAGCCTCAGGCACAACTGTGTCTAGCTCTATCAAGAGTTGCAGGTGGTGGGAACCAGCAGTTAGCGTAATGGCTATGTCACTGGACTTCCACGTAGTCGACCGCGGTTCGCGTCCCAGACCCAGTGGCTTAAACATGCCGGGCGCGTGTGCGTGCATGCCCAAGATCCCAAAAGGAGAATGGAAGAGAAGGGATTGCGGCGTGACCATCCCCCCTGGGGAGTGATTTCTCGCTTTCTGTCTCTATGTCTCTCTCTGTCTGTCTGGCGAGTGCACACGCCCTATAGCAAAAACCTCTCAAAAAGAAAAAAAAAAAAAAGAAAAAAAAGAAAAGAGTTGCAGGTGGCAAGTGACCAGGTTGCAAGTTGTTTTAGTGACTACTCACTGCCTCAGATTTCTCCTAACCCTAATCACCATCTTCCTGGAAGACCTCATTGGCACCTCTGTCCCTGCTTGGCTCTGTGGCTCTAAGACAGACCATAGCAGCCTGGTGAGCCAGAGGTAGCAGGTGGCCAGGAGCTGGCAAGGCAGTAGGTGACTGCCTATTACTGGAGAGGACTCTTATTATCACACACTCCCTAATCCTCTGTGACATCCCCTCCCAGCTTGGCAGAGCTTTGAGCCTCTCTTGGACACAGGCCCTGGAAGGTCATCTGCATCCAGGAGATGACTGGGAACATGGCAGGAGACACAGATGTCAGTCAAATTGCCATGCTCGAATCAAAGGGAAACCCTCTAGGCTATCAGATCCACGTGCATAAGGTTGAAGCCAACCCTATCTTTTTTAATCAGAGATTTTTTCCAAAATTCAAAGAAAAGGGAAATGAGCTCAGTGCTGACAAAGGCACATTCAGACCTGACACAGGCACATTCCACTCCCTGCTGCATTCTGGAGGAGCCACCTGTCCCCGCAGGCTCAGTGTTAGCTAGCAGCCTTTTGGGGCTCTCAGGTGAACCTGCTGGGCTAGTTACTGTGGTCCCTGGGGCTGGTTCTAACCTGTAACGATCTCACAGATCACTCCTGAGGATGGCAGGCCAATTTGCTGGGTCCCCAGAGGCACCATGAAAACCAGCTTGAAACTCCAGCTCCCACTGAAATCCTTTATGACTACACAGGAACCAGTTCAAAGACCCTGAGTGACAGAGCCCAACCTGACACTTCCAACAATTCTGTCCCAGTGTGGCGTGTCCTTGCAATGATCCCTTTCACAGTCTCACAGTGACCCAGGACAGTGCTACCTGGAAAGACTGGGCCTAGGAAGTTTGAATGAGACTGAGATATAGCACTAAAGAGCTTGAAAGTGCCAAGAGAGCTTCTTCTGGCTCTTGCATGCAGCCCCCTAGAGCCTGGACAGTGGAGGCTGCCTGCCAGCTTCCCTCCAGGCCTGACCCAGCTCATTGTGTGCTCAAGGCTGGTGAGAATGAATGATAAAGGAAAGGAGGGATACTAGGTAGGATAGCACCCCCCCACACACACACACACACATACACCCCAATTCATGTCCATCTGGACCCTGAGAAGGTGACCTTATTTGGAAATAGGGTCTTTGGAGGTGTTGCTAGTTTAAGTAAGATGAGGTCATACTGGATTTAGGTGGGGTTAAATGCAATGGTTTCCATCCACAGGAGATGGTCCTGTGAAGACACACAGTGAAGGAGGCCCTGCAAAAATGGAGGCAGAGACTGGGGCATGTTTATGGGCCAGGGATTGCTGGCAACTGCCAGAAGCTGGGAGAGAAGCATGGGACAGTTTCTCTCTAGAGCCTCCACAGGAATGAACCCTGCTGACACCTTAATTTTAGATGTCCGGCCTCTAGAACTGTGAGAGAACATTTCTGTTGTTTGGAATCACCTATTAATAGTTGTTGGTGTTTTGTTACAGCAGTCCAGGTAACTAATATGGAGAGAAGGAAGAAAAAATTTTTTTGGAAATCCCATTAAGCACCACATAGCACATTCAATACTTTCACGTACATGCTCTCATTCTATCCTCAAATAAACTTCGTAGGGTAGATATTATTTTTCTCATTTGACCAATGAAAAACCTATGACTGCTTATGTAAAGTGTCCTGAATCATTAAACTAGAAAGATACAGAGCTAAGATTTTCTTTTTGTGCTATATCTTTTCCCCTCAAGGCCTAGGGAGTGAGCAGATTAATAAAATAAACCACCCCTTGCTCGCACACCCATGGGAGAAATCATCCTGAGGGTACATGTGCTTTGTAAGTGGGATTGTCCAGACTAAGCCCCCCTCCCCATTATGACTCTGTCAATGGTATTTTCATGTCTGGGCACATGGAAAAATGTGTCATGGCTGACCAGGTGGAGGAGAAGGGCACACAGCAACCTGCAAAGTGTACCACTTCCATTTTCAGATCAACATAAGTGGGGCTGGTATAAGGGGATTCTCAGTGTGTTCCTTCTGACACCAGGAGATAGCATGAAGAACCATTTTAAAGGTATTACCACACATATCAAAGACAATATCCAGGCCAAACATGATCGTGGTGCTGAAGGTGGTGAAACTCAAAGCTATGCTCATAATTTTGTCTGTAAGAAATGCAAAGCTACTCAAAAGGACCAAACATGAACCCTGTACTGGTTAAATCGTGTCTCCCAAAATTCATGTCTACCAGGAGCCTGTAAGTGTGACCTAATTTGGAAATGAACTTTGCTACTATGACCAAGGTAAGTCATTTAGGGTGAGCCCTGAATCCAATAAAATTGGTGGCCTTACAATTGGAGAAAATTTTAGATATAGAGACACAGACACATAAATGATAGGTGTATGAAGACTGAGGCGGAGATTGAAGTTACACTGCCACAAGCCAAGGAATGCCTGAGGCCACCAGAAGTTGGAAGAAGGAAGGAAGGATTCTCCCCTAGAGCCTTCAGAGACAGCATAGTCCTGTCAGCAAACTTGATCTTGGACTCTGGCACCCTGAGTTATTACAGAACAAACTTCTGTTGTTATAAGCCACCCAATTTGTAGTATAATTCATCTCCATTATTTGAGGATTCCATATTTGCAAATTTACTCAGTTGCTAAAATTTATCTATAGCCCCCAAATTAATACTTGTAGAGTTGTCAGACTCATTCTTAGACTTGAACAGAGTGGCAGTACATCTGTATTGCCCAACACAAATGTTTCTAGTTGAGATTGAACAAGGCGATGCCCTATAGTCCTGTTTCAGTTCTCATCCTATAAACAAATATCCTTTCCCTGGTTTATTTAGTGTCATGTTCGTCACATTTTGTGCTTTGGGATGGTAATTTTACTATTTAAAGTGACCCCCAAGCCAAGAACTGAAGTGCTGTCTAAAGTTTCTAAGCCCAAGAAAGCTGTGATACGCTTCATTCAGGTGTGAGTTATACATAGCACTATTAGCCATGCGTTCAGTGTTAATGAATCGACTGTACAAGGGGATGTCAAAGAGTTTGTGGAAAATGGAGTTAATGGATAAATTTATTTTGGTATGAAAAATGTCGAAATCTGTGCTTTATTATTTTCATAACACACATTTCTCTGAACTTTGTGAAGACCCTGCATATGTCTTTAATGTGATGTCTTCAAATAGAAGTATACATCATACAAAGCCATGCATTGACTTGTTGACAAAGGTATGTGATCAGAGGGGCCAGCAGGTGGCGTGGTGGTTAAAAAAAACAATATGGCTGACTGCGATTCAAGTCTCATACCTGGTGGCTTCCTTTCTCACTTCCCCTCTCTCTCTTTCTCTATATCTCTCTGAACAAACTGGAATAATAATAATAATAATAAAGTTAATTTTTAAAAAAAGAACAGATTTTAAAAAAATGTGACCAGCAACACTCAGAAACCTAACCCTGTATTTTCCCTAGGAGAAATGTTTCATTATTCACTAATCACTCTTCGCAGCAACTTTATAGAGCTTATCTACCATGACCAACAAGTGTCAACCCTATGTTTTAATTCAGCCTTAAGAAACCAAAACAAGCCTTTTTATACTCACCTAGAATCTTGCAGGCCTCTTGGATAAGCTTAATAGTGATGACATCATCATATACTGTGTACGTCAGAAAGGCATCTTGTACTTCTGCAGAAGCTCTGAAAGATAAATCAAGGGACCACGAAAACACAGCAACTGGAATGCTGCCGCAGTAATATATCCATTTAACCAGCAAGATATAATACAGTAAGAACACTCTTGTTCACAAGGAATATGAAACATCTGAGTATTTGGGTGTCAACTTCTCCAAGAAGCCTTCCCTGGACTTCAGTTTGGGCCAAGAGTTCCCTTCTCAAATACCCAAAATAGGCTATGCATTTCCCTAGTTTATACAAAGTCTTAGCCCCTCATCTGTGCTCCTTGAGGATGAACATTATGACTTATTTTTCTCTCTTGACCTAAGCAAGTGGCTCTGTGCTTGACATATGTTAAGAACTTAAATATATGTTCATGAATTTGGACTTCAATGGCCTAGAGTCTTATTCTCCAAATATTAGAGCAGCTGCTTAAATCTTTCACTGTTTTGCAATGTAGTTGGCTGTGTTGTAGGAGTTATTGATGGACTTTGATCTTCAACAGCTAAACAAAGCTAAAAAAAGGAGGCTTAGCCTGGAATTCAGAAGATTTGCACTCCTGACTTAGCCCTGTTATAAGTCACTAAACTGTAGTTAGCAATTCAGTCAACAAGTGGGGAGAAGGGGTTGGTCAGGGATTGCTTCCTGACAAATGTAGGTTTAACTGAGACTGAAGGATGGATAAGCAAAGAAGAGCATTCTAGACAAAAAGAATAGGCTCTGGGACAGAAAAGAGCCTGTTTGAAGAATGGAGAAGAGCATAGACACTTAGCATTTATCCCAGAACATGTCATAGAATCTAGGGACTTGTGAGAGGTATGGAATTTTCTAATTGTTTGATTTCTCACTTTACACTATATCTGATTGTTAGTCTTAAAGTTTCCTCTTAAATGCTTCTAATGATAAGAAGGTCTTTCCTTCGCAAGGCAGCACATTGTATTTACAGACTGTGCTCTCTGATAGGAAATCTGTTTCTCAGTCCTCATAGTACCTTCTATTTCCTGAGCATCTGCTTTTGGCTCAAGAGATGATGGATTATTCATGATCATCTCTTTCACTGTTGAAATGATGCTAAGCCAAGAGTGTAAATCTTTGCTACTTTTTTTTCTGGGCTAAAAACTTTTTTTATCTTTCTGTACTTCACCTCCCCCCTGTCAAATGGATCATTTTTATTTCCTGTCCTACCTTTCTGATAGGACTGTTGATAGGTCAGAATAGGATGGCAGAAGTGAAAGAGCTTGGAGAAATCAAGAACCACAATACAGATCCAAGGAGGGTCATTATCCTTATTCTACAATAATAAAAACAGGAAGGTTGCATGGTGTGTTTGGAAGATAACTAGGGCTAGAATTTAGAACCCCTGGTTCTAGGCTCATATCTGAGGGGAAATTACATCCCCTCTCTGGGCCTTAATTCCTTTTATTTTCTTTATTTTTTTAATTTTAAATTTATTTATTTATATTCATTCACTGTACATAAATACAGTATACAGAATGAGATTTTCTATCCATAATACACCTTATCGTGGCTCAATCAAGGATATTACTATATGTGCTATCATGAACAAATAATTTTCCATTTCTTGTTTCTTTTATATTTTGCTCTCCCCCCTTGATTCCCTACCTTTCACCCTCTGCCATTTCCCATCCCCTCCCATACTGTCTCTGATATCTACAGTTGCTTTCCATGCCTTTTTTTCACATTTTATTGACTAAATAAAGATCTTAAGTAATCTAAATACTTTCAATAGCAAGCACAGCTGATATATACATATCTATGAACACATGCCTGACTTGAGGCGTAAACCTCAGTAAGTGAAATTGACATACTATAAAGTAGCACCTAGCTGGGCTATATAGCTTACTGCAGTCATTAAACTGGTATTTTTAAATGAATTTCTTAATTTCAAGAATATCAGTTTTAGTTTTAATAGATCAAAATCAAAAAATTTTAAGAGAAATTTGTTTAAACCTTAAAGCCAGGACAAAGGTTAGGATTCAGTTCAAATAGTAGGTAGATGAACCTATCAACAATTCAAGAGAAGACAAAAATCCTTAAATATAGAAATCAAAGCATTGAAGAAAATCAGTAATGCTTTAGTCTAAAGTCAAAAAATTCTATTTCACTAGTTCAGACTCACGTAATCAATCTCTCTTCTATTGAATTTGCATTGTTACTGTGGCCTGATCTTCGATTTAAACTCTGGAAGTTAACATTCAACTCTGGATTTGTCCTACCATTAGGCTGGGCATTCTCTTGGTTGTTTCTTGCACTCTTATTTCTGTGTGTCCGACTTTAGTTTTCCTGGTATAGCACTCCCTTCAGCCCTTCTTGGAGAGCTGATCTGGTGTTGGTAAATTCTTTCAGGTTTTGTTTATCTGAGAATGTTTTTGTCCTTTTTTCCCATATGAAAGATAATCTTGCTGAGTATAGTATTCTTGGTTGAAACTGTTTTTCTCTTAACACTTTGACTATATTTTCCCATTCTTTCCTTGCTTGCATTGTTTCCAATGAGAGATCCGATATTAGCCTGATGGGATATCCTTTAAAAGTAACTTGATGTTTCTCTCTTGCCAGTTTTTGTATCTTATCTTTGTCTGTGGTTTTGGTCAATCTGGCTATGATGTGCCTCCTCAACTTATTTATCTTTAATATGAGGAATGTGGTGGATGACATCAATGTTTCCCAATTACTTTTAAATCCAGACCCCATTTCAAAACACACATCCACATGGGATTCTAAAATAGTCCCAGGGCCTGCATGCCCAGAGCTGAGGATCACTGGACTAGAAGTTCTCAGAATTTCCCTCTACCTGTAAAATTTCCCGTTTTGGTCTACGTTTGTACAATGCTTTACAAACATCATCATCATCAGATCAGTTATTCAGAGAGCTAGAGCTAGAGCCTAAAGAAGATGCTCCCTCAAGTGCAGTGCTCTCCAACACCTCACTCTCCAGCTCTCTATCAGCCTCCCCAGGGGCCTGTGTCCCTTTGTGGAAATACATGCCCTCCTTCTGGGCCTACAAGCCAAACAGAAACACAATGAGTAAGGCCCCAGTGTAAACATGACGAGTTGTTATCATCTGTTCTGGAGGCCCTGGGAAGGATTAAGTGATCTCAAGGACCTTGGAAATGTATTGGGTTGTTAGAAAAGTCATGGTGCATTTTTACATAGAAAAAAATTTGAGATGACTTTTCTGACAACCCAATTATAAGCTCTGTGGTATCCCTAGCCTGCTAACAGGACCACCTACTCTTCCCACCTGGGTCTAGCAGCCTTTTCATTCCTGTAGGCTGAGATGATAATATTTTAGTGTCAAATATTTATTTGGATTTGTATGCACACACACACACACACACACACATGCTCAGACTGTTATGATTGCATAGGGATTTTCAGCCTTGTTTATTGATCTCCTCGATCTCGTATACAGCATTTCCCACCATCAGTGCTCTCTTGCAGACATATAGTCATGCGAACTGCTGTAGTAGAACAATATGTTCACCAAGAATTTTTTAAAAAATAAACAAACCAGTTGATATTTTCTACTGAGATGGCAAAGCCCCTAGTAAGAAGAGAGGAAGGGGAGAAGAATAAGTATGGGAAAACAGTTTGAAAAGTCTGAGAGCTGGGAAAGCCACACATGTGGGAAATGAAGTCAGAGTTTGGTGTTTCCAGCTCACACCGAGTGGCATGCGCTTCAGGAAACATGAGAAGTGTCGGCCACATAGGTGCTCATGCACTCAGGAGACTGATGAACCGCTGGTGAGGCTGGAACAGTCACGCAGTCAATGTGTGTTCCTCTTTAGTCCATTCCAACTAGTGACGCCCAAAATATCTGGGCAGGAAACTAGGGCCAGGCTGCCTGTATCAGAATAACTCAGGGAGCAAAATAAACATATAGATTCCTGAGCCCTAGGAGATAGTATCTGGGAATCTATATATATATATATATTTTTTAGCCACTTGCCTAAGATGACTCTCCAGGTTTGGAAACAAAGGCTCAGAAACACTTTCTAGGATTCAATCTGGCAAAACAAAAGGTTACAAATGATAGATCTTACACTTTTCAACCTCACCAAACTGATGTAATGGTTTCTAAAGGTCCAGCGAGAGCTATAAAGCCCACAGGAAAAATGAATAGCACTTTGTAGCACATTTCAGGCCAAGAAAATGGGATCATTTTAAAATTTTTACTATAGGATGTGTGCACTCACCAGAGCGAGAGGGCAAGTAAGAAAGCACTCTTCATTTGCCCCTGGGGATTTGGGGCACTCACACACACACATCTACTGGGTTTTTCAAGCCTTTAGGTCTGAGACTCAAACCACATCAGCCATGTGTGATCCAACCACCTTAACCACCATGCCACCAGCTGGCCCCCCAAATGGGATCAATTTAAGTCATGGGATGGCTCCTGCAACAGCTCCCCAATGGGACACGAGGAATTCACATAACAGATCTGCCTGAAACTGTGTGACTCAAGGCGTAGATGGAAAAAGTGAGGCCCCAAAAGTCAGGGATCAGTATCATCTGAAATTTAGCAAAAGCACCAGCCTGCCTTCTAGCCAGTCAGTCCTTCAGCTGGCTTCTCCAGCTCCCCATGGCTTTCTTGATAAAGTCCAGATTCTAGGCAGACACATCCAGTCCTCCATGACCTAGTCTCTGTACCTCTCCCTCACCCCTGCCTCTCCCCTGTATGTCCATTCTTCTGGCCACTCACAAGCTCTCCCTTTCTGCTTTCTATCTTCCCCTCTCTACACCAGAGGAAACACTTTCACTCCTTCTTGTCTGGCTAACTTTATTTTTCTTTCCCAACTCTGGTGGTTCTGAGCCATGTGCAGATGCAGAGGTCCCTCCTCTGAGCTCCTGCAGCTCCTGAATTACCTATGTTGGCTCTGTCTACTTGTGTGACCTTTGTTTTGCCTGTTGGCATGCTTTCTATATGCCCAGGTCGACACAGCAGAAAAATGTCATTCGATTTCCTATCTTCAATACCTAGTGTTGTACCTGAGATACAATGG